AGTTTTTATAAAAGAGGATTGTTGTCCAATTTTGGCCATTTTAAGTTGGGGGGTCTTCAACCCCCAGATTCCCCCGGCCAGAATGGGGGGCTGGGGAATTCTGGAAGTTGAAGTCCACTCATCTTAAAGTGGCCAACTTTGGGCAACACTGTCATAGAGAATGTCTGGCACCCTAGATGCTGCTGGCCTACCAGCCCTGATCATAGACCATACTGGGGACCCACAATTAGAAACAACATAACTTTATTCACAAAGTACATATAATTCATTTCAGGTCCTTGTTTTTTACCCATCTATCACATTTTTAATCCCCCCAATCACAGAGTTTCTCTGGGAAGATTACAAAGCTATTTAAAACATTATCGTATCTTGCTTTTACAGTAGTTTCTTTCCCCGTCCCCTGAAACTAAAACACCACAAACACTGTAGTCTTTCAGTGGTTCTATGCACATTGTGAGTATATCTAGAATAACAATCTTTTGGCAACACTACATGGAGTATTTATCCTCTCATCTTTTTTTTTTTTTAAACAAAGAATAAAAGAGTTTCAGATTTTTTTTTAAAAAAAAAGCTGAAGATGACCACCAGCTGGATTATTTCTATTTTTTTTTTTTTTTTTTACCTGTAAGGCAAGCACAGGTTCCTTTTTCTTCTCCAAATGATCCGGATGAACAGGCTGCTTGGCTTCAAATTCTTTTTTTTGTTTGTTTTCAAGAAGGTGAAAGATAACAGTGGAGAGAAAAGTACCAGAGGTTTATTCCTACTTTACAAGGGCTAAATACCTTTCCCTGAAAATATAAAAATCGCAATCACATTGTTGCATGCCTACTTCACTCAACCAAATTCAAAGTTAGGAATAAACAAGGTAAGACCTTAGGGCTGGATGGGGCCTTGGGGGTGACTCTCAAGTTCCTCCAAAATTTGCCAACACATTGAAATATGACAGAAGGAGAAAATGGTAAATAACACAATGAAATGAACAATATTTAATTTATTACAAGTAAATTTAATAATGCAAGTGATGCAAGCAAGTGAAATTTGGAGTTTGGCCTAGCCTTACTCACTTTTTAGCCAGTCAATGCTGCCACTCAAAGGTATCTGATTTGATTTGGCTTCGTTAAATGACAATACTGGAAAGGATTTAGTCTGTGGGAGACAAGCCAACATTCCTGAATGTTGGACAGCTCAAATGTAGCCCACTGAGCGTCTCAAACATTTTCAATAAATCAATAAAATATAATGCATCCTCAGACCAGTGTCCAAGATTCATTACATTGCTTTGCATTACAATAACCAGAGACATAACAGACATATAAAAGTGAATAAAATCAATGTGAATGCAGTCACATGCAGGGGTGTCATGCGGGACAACAGGCGTTTTCTTCTCTATTAATGTGTGCATGAGTGTGCGTGTGTTGGGGGGGTAATTTCACTGATGGATTTATAGACAGAGAGATAATCAACTTTTCCAAGGCTCCCAAAGATCGATGCTAAAGAAGAGCCACAATTACTTTTCTCCTTAGGAACCGGAATGAGAGCCAAATTAGTTTTGAATTAATTAAGCTGCACTGCAACAGCAGTCACAATGTTTGCTTGGTGGTGCCATAAACTCATCCCCTTGCTGCAAGAACCGCGAGGCCAGATTGGCAAGGGACTCAGAAATGGGAACTGGGGGAATTGCCACTTTGCTGGGCATCATAAATAGTGCAAATCTTTCTGCTTGCTGCCAATCTATAATGCAGGAACTCTATATTGGGGTGGGGGTGGGGATTCCAGAGATTAGATGACCTGCTGAAAAACGATGTGCCATCCTTAGCATCCTTACTTCTCAGCCTGCACATAGACTTGATAGACATTTTTTAGAAAAAAATAGATTGGAATATCTTTTTAGAAAAAATATAGCAGCCCATAGTGTTGCTTAGAAGAGTTTTCAGGTCTCAGCAAAAAGGCAGAGCCAGATTGGGAGGGAACATCCAAGGGGGCTAAAGCCATTTCATAGGAATGCCCATAATGCACAACTAGAATTCCAGATGTGTCCTCTGGTTCATGAAGGTTGCCTGTGCTTTGGCTACACAATTCTATTAGGCTTCCCCAACTGGCACCAATTTAGAAGTGCTGGACTACATATCCCACCCATCCCCATTCAGACAGGGGCTGTAGTCCAACACCTCTTGAGTTATATCATTGCAGAAAGTTGGGTTAAATGTTCCTTCTCAATAGTGTCCTGAAAAAAAATGCTTTTAAGACTCTCCTCTTCCTCTTCTTCATTGTTCTGTGTCCTCCCTTAATTTACAGTTGTTTTAAGAAACCGAGAAAGGAAAAACAAACAAACCAAAAAACTGCAACCCAACCCATGACAAATTAAGATACAAAGTTGTCCAACAAGATGAAACACCCACACTTCAGAAAATAAAAGAATAACAGCAGCTCACTCTTCAGTTCTGATCTGCAAAACAAACAGCCAGGAACAGATCTGGAAACCCAACCAGACCTGCTGAGAGATGTGAAGTACCAACACCTAGAAGCCCACAGTTATCCAGGGAATTTCATGCCGAATTTGAAACTCAGGAGCCCCCTCAGACCTTGCCCAAGACTTTTTTCAGCCTTCTTTACCCTCCAGATATGTCAAATCTACAGGTCCCATAAATTCTAGTTGGTACAGGCTGCTCTCCATCAGGAGAGTTTCAATTCAAGCCACATGGGGGTCCCCAGACTGCTCCAGAGATTATGGCCCCCCCAGCCGTCTTTTCGGACAAACAGCTGGGGGCTGATGGGATTGCTCAAAATGTCTGTTCTGCAGAGACTGAAGATTAGAAATGCTGAATCTAAAGCGTTATCCCCTTTGCCATTTGCATTAGGACATCACGGGCATCTCCCTCCCCATCCATCGATTATGTCAGGCCAAGCCCAAGAACAACGGTGAAACGGTCCAGTTGAGTTAAATTCCTTTGCTTACACTATATAGATTAAATCTATAGTACTGCAACTAGTGGATGTACTCTGGGAGATTCTAGGGAGTGGCTACCCTGAACCTCTTTCGCTTCCCACGCTCCCCCTGCGGACTGTGTTGCCTCTTGTCTCCTTTCCCTTCCTGGAACATGCCCCCTCCTTCCTGGCAGCCTTGCTCTCTGCTGCAATCCACCACAGATTAGCTGGCAATCTTTACCAGGTCCTTCTGCAAAGGCCAACAAAATAACTGCAGACGCTCTGGAGTTCAGGGGCGTCTGCAAGGGAGGGGGGTCAAAAAGTCAAGGTGGCAGCCCCAGCTCTGCCCTTGAAGCCCCACCCTTTTCAAAGTTAAAGAGAGCAGAGTTTCAAATGCAGGGTTGCGCCCACCTTCTTGACGTTTTGAAGTCTGAACTCTTCCTCATGTTCAGACCACCAACTCCATCCAGTTGCTGAATGTGCCCGTTTTCTGGATTGGCACCATCTATTAAACTCTGGAGAGCCAGTCTGGTGTCATGGTTAAAGCACCAGGCTAGGAACCGGAAGACCATGAGTTCTAGTCGTGCCTTAGGCAATAAAGCCAGCTGGGTGACCTTGGGCCAGTCCCTCTCTCTCAGCCCTAGGAAGAAGGAGGAGGCAAGGGCCAACCACTTCTGAAAAACCTTGCCAAGAAAACTGCAGGGACTAGTCCAGACAGTCACCAGGAGTCAAGACTGATTGGAAGGCACCAAAAAATAAAACAAAACAAAATATATAAAATAAAATAAAATAAAATAAAATAAAATAAAATAAAATAAAATAAAATAAAATAAAAT